AGTTCGCATCGTTCTTCGTTTAAAATCTTTCGACGAGTTGAAACGATTAAAACACTCTATTCTTTCTCTACGCGTCCAGATATGAAATTCGAATCAATCGCATTATTCTTATTCTTTCATGTCGGCCGCGCGCGAAAAAGCTTGCTCCTCGAGCAAGCAACCCTGATACAATTATCACGGGGGAGACGTTTGACGGGTGAAAAAGAAGAGTCGGCGGCCCTCGCAACCTGTGCAACCCGCGTAAACCTTTCGCCTAAATTTTATTCGACCTGGGATCAATTGACTAGTTTCAACCTAGAACGTAGTTCGCATCGTTCTTCGTTTAAAATCTTTCGACGAGTTGAAACGATTAAAACACTCTATTCTTGCTCTACGCGTCCAGATATGAAATTCGAATCAATCGCATTATTCTTATTCTTTCATGTCGGCCGCGCGCGAAAAAGCTTGCTCCTCGAGCAAGCAACCCTGATACAATTATCACGGGGGAGACGGGTGAAAAAGAAGAATCGGCGGCCCTCGCAACCCGCGAATCCGAGAGCGCGTGCGCCGCTCTCCTCTCCCCTCCTCTCTCCCCTTCTCTCCCTCCTCCTCCTTCCGTCGTTTAGATATTAATGCGTAGGGTCCAGTATTCAACGGCGGTTGTTGCAATGCAACAACGGTTTATACGAATATCCCGTCCCGCGGGACGTATCCGGTCTGGTTTGGCTGCAGGCCGCGGTTGCAGGGCTGGAACCTAGATCCGACGCGGGAGCAGGGTGATGGAGGGTGGTGGAGGGTGGGAGAGAGAGAGAGAGAGAGGACGTCGGCCCCGCGGGCTCTCCGATATTAATACATTCCATTACCGCAGACAATGACCGGGTGAATGGGCCTCTGGCTCTTGATGAGCTCCGGGGCGCCCCCGCACTGTGCAACCAACAGCCTCCTTCGCTCGTCCGCGTCACCGTCTAATTTAATACACGCCGCGGCGCGGGAAGGTGGTTGGAAGGTGGTGGCCGACGAGAGGGAGAGAGAGGGACGTTCCTCGATACGATGATCCCCAGATATAATACGAGCCGTGTGTGGGCATGATAAATTGAAATCGAAGGGGAACACTTGGATTTTTAAGCGATGTATGGTTATTTTTTTATCTAAGGGGTTAGAATTTGAAATGGGGGATTTTCTGTCTTAGGTAGGTATTCTGGATATATATATATATAGTAGTCAATTCAAATCGAGAGAACATAGTGATAATTTCGAGAGAGATAGTCGAAGTGCACGAATCGCGTCACATCGAGATATGAAAGCAAACGCGTCGTTTCTTGTACGCGTCGAAGGGGAAGGAAAAAAAAGACTCGTCGATCAGGAAAGCGGAACGTTTCAATTAAGATCCAGCGTGTGAGTATATCGATGTATATGCACCAGGGATAACCTGGTCAACCTTGGAAAGCTACTTGGAAATTTGAGAGAGCGGAGCATAGCACTTCGAAGAAGGTTAAAGATCAACTCTGATGGAGAGAAAGAGAGAGAGAGGGAGAGAGAGACGCAGCTGAGATGGGAACAGCGTTGAAAATGCCAAAAATAGATAGGTCGAAGCTTGGAACGTGTCGAAGTGGCGATAAATCCGTGTCGATCGACCGTGTTTCGCAATGGCGACACGGGTCTATATATACGAGTGAGGGATTGAAAAAGAAAGAAAGAAAAAAAGAGGAATTGCCTCGGACAGGATCGAAAAGTTGGACGTCAAACACGATGTAATTTAATTGAAACGTTTATTCGTCCACCCTCATATGTTAAGCACCGGCCGTTGAAAGTGCGCGATAATTTAATTTGAGCCGAGGAGGGCTGATCGATCGGCCAATCCCCAAAGACGCTTTTCCGCGCGGGATGAAGCGCGAGCGTGGAAAGAAAGAATGGAGAAACGAGGTGGAGAAAAGGGAGAGAGAATGGAAGTTTTCCCTCCCTCGAATCGACGGAGGTCTTTCTCTCTCTTTCTCTCCCGTTGAAAGGAGA